TTTTTAATACAATGGAGTACTACTCAGCCATAAAGAAGGATAAATTGGAGACTTTTATAGGCAAATGGATGCAACTTGAGACCATACTCATAAGTGAAATACATTGGACTCATATGTGCAAGTATCATCTCCCTAGTGTGAGAAGCTGAAGGAGTAAATAAGATATTATAAATGTATATTAATTCTGGAAATAATGTCATATTAGCCTTCCAGTGTTTTTTCTTCCTATTCAAAATTGTTTCAACGATTTCAACTCTTTTGCATTTTCATAGAAAATTGTTATCTTTAAGTATTTCACCTTAAAATGTTTCTTGAAATTTTTAATTTCTCTGTAATGTTTTCTAGTTTCTATATACATCTCATAAATTTTGTGTTGAGATTTATCACTATTTTATATTTTATTTATTTATTTGGGTACTGGGAATCGAACTTGGGACCTTGTGCTGGCCAGGCAGGCAGATATAGCACTGAGCTATATCTCTGGCCCACTGTTTTATATTTTAATGCTGTCTGTTGTAGCTGATGTGTTTATTTTTGTTTGTCAGCATGAAGTGGAAGTATAGTTGGTTTTCAATGAACATTTTTTTTTTTTAAAGTACTGTGGGACTCTGGAGAAAAAGCTCATTTTGTCTGGAAAAGTCAAGGAAGGCTTCCCACTGGTTAAAATAATTGAACTGGATCTTTAAATGGAAATGGCTACCTAGCATATGTAAGACATTCCAGATAGAAAGAATAGCCAAGAGGGAGAGATGCAAGTGTTTGACAGAGATTTGGGAACTTTGAGTCATTTAAAGCATGGGATCATTAGAAACGTGACTCCTAGCTGGGCATGGTGGTGCACGCCTGTATTCTCCGCACTTTGGAGACTGAGACAGGAGGATTACTGTGAGTTGGAGGCCAGCCTGGACTACATAGTAAGACCCTGTCTCACACACACAAAAAAAGTTTGACTGCTGAAAGGGCCCAGTCTTGAGAAGATGTTTGCTTGTTTCAACTTACTTAACATAGTGCTTCCTTATTACAACTCTTACAGCCACCAGTTCAGCAACTGAGAGATCGGCTTTTTCATGCCCAAGGTTCTGCTGTCATGGGCCAACCGTGCCCCCCTTTTCCTTTTCCCCGGGTTGTTGTGGGAGCTGCCCCCTGCTCTAAAGAGACAACCCCTTACAGATCGGGATCCCAGCCTTCTCACCAGGTAAGGTCTTACTTGTTAATTCATTTGTTCATCACTCAGAAATACTTATGTGGCAGGCACTTGGAATATTAATTTGGACCAAAGAGATGAAAATATTAATATGAACAAAACAGATAAAAATTTGTGACTTCCTAGAGCATCAATTCAGTTATTGTTCTAAGAACTGTTGAACCACTCCTTGGCTCTTAGAACGTGAGGGTTCATAGACCAGGGTCTTTGCCCCCAAGTAGCTGATAGTCTAGTGGAAAGACAGATGTGTAAAAAATACAGTAAAACTGGGAACCGTCGTGATTGAGGTTTGGCATGGGGCTGTGGCATCACACAGAAGAAGGCAGTTTACTCTTTGCGTGTGTTGGAGGAGGCAGTTCAGGAAGTGTTTCAGAATGAGTGTGTGTGCTCTGAGTGAATGGGTAGATGAGGTTGTTTCAGGCACGGGGCGGAGCATATACAGAGGCTGAAATAAGAGTAAGTAGAGGCGTTTTGAGGAACTACTAATATTTTAATGGGGCTGCAGCACAGGTGAAGGTAGGAGTTAGATCACTAAAGACCGGGAACTCTGTGCTAAAGAACTTAGACTTGACCCTCAACGCAGAGGTTAACTGCTAAACAGTTTTATGTAGGAAAACTACATGATTAGCTATGTGTGTAGGAAGGACAGGGCTGGAGGCATTAAGGAAGCAGGGGATGATGTAGATGTGGAAACCCGGCCCTGGACAGTGAGGTTGGATTTGATTTTTTTTTTGGTACTGGGAATTGAACTCAGGACCTTGTGCTTGCTAGGCAGGCGCTTGTGCCACTGAGCTATATCCCCAGCATGGAGGTTGGAATTGAGAGAGCAGGTAGAATGAACAGAAATTCCTGATTATTTAGAGGTGTATGTGTGTGCAGCAGAGGGACAGAGAAGATGAATTTTGGAAAAATCCCCAGGTTTTGGACAAAGTGCCTAGGTAAATTGGGCACCTTGAACATGTGAGATCTGGCACTTACTCAAGGGCCTAGAGAATAAAACTCAGAGAGCTCTGAGGACAGAGGTATTGATGATGATCTTGCCCTACTTTCAGTTCCCATCCTAATACTACCTTTTCCCTTTTCTGTGTCCTCCCCTCCTCTCTCTCTCTCTCTCTCTCTCTCTCTCACACTTTCTCTCTCTCTCTCTCTCTTTCTCTCTTTCTCTCTCTCACTTCCTCTCTCTCTCTCTCCCCCCCTCTCTTTCCTTGTTATCTCTTCTATGCTGAAATCATTAGATTCACAGGAGGTTATGAAAAACATATTGGGAGATCTCAAGCTTCCCCACTGCACTACATGGCATAGTACGGTGGTGGCAAACCACACATGCTACAGCAGACTGTTACCACTGAAAGCTCTAAAAGGTTCATCATCACTGGCATAGTACAATATCATAGTGCAATATCAAAATGAAGAAGTTGTCCTTTGTGTAATCCAGTCTCCAGTGTTTTTGGCACTAGGGACTGGTTTTGTGGAAAGCAGTTTTTTCCACGGATGTGGATGGGGGTGATTTCAGGATGATTTGAGAATGCTACATTAATTGTGAACTTTATTTCTATTATTTTTACATTGCAATATATAATGAAATAATAATACACTCTCCATAGAGCCAGATCACTGGGAGCCCTGATCTTTGTTTTCTGTAACTGGAGTGTGGGGAGACATTGACACCTAAGTGTGTTTGTATATGCCCAGTCTACTCTGTAATCTTGTTTTGGCTGCTATCAGAAAACCCTGTTTCACAAAGATGGGATGTTGACATGGAAGCAGAGTTTTCAGTGCATTAGTGGCAATGTCAAGATATTTGTCTTTACTTTAATCCAGAATGTATGGAGATTTGAAGTTGTCTCAGGATGCTGGAGATAGCTCAGCGGCATAGCACCTGCTGGCAGACACAAGGTCCTGAGTTTGATTCTTGGGTACCACAAAAAAAGTTGTCTCACACATACTTTGAAGGCCACCACATTTGTGATCTCAAGTAGTTGTTCCTTTCTAGCACATTGTTCCTTTCTAACAAGTTGATTCATTTGGCTTATTCACAAACAAGTTGCAGATGTGTTTCTACTGCAAGTTTGGGGATCTTTTATGGTTGGGAAGTAGTGCTCAAATTCTTTTGAAAACAAAGATGAGTGATCATATACCAGTTGGGAAAAAGAAGGCCCTGGTCTAGCATCTTTCAAAATCTCTGCTAATGTTTGAAATATGTCAAAAATTCCAGTTTTGCCAAGTGTGGTAGCATATGCCTATAATCCCAGCACTCAGGAGGCTGAGGCAGAAAGATCACTGTGAGTTCAAGGCCGGCCTGAATTGCATAGTGAGACCTTGTCTCAAAAAACAACAACAAAATCTCAGTGTAGCCACTGTATCTGCCAACTTGAACATAGTTGTCAGTCTCCCCTGAAGTGACATACTGAGTTCATTGAGTAGGTTGGATATGTCACACAAGCCAGCAAGTTTTGCAACTCATTTTCCATGCTGTCAGTGGTGTTTGTTTTTCTAAAAGAAATCTCTGAAATGGCTTCCATAACTCAAAACTCTGGCCAGTGATCTACTGTTACAGCTTGTGTCTAGATTTCCCCCAAAGCCTCATATGATCATAGATGGGGCTTTTCAGAGATGGCTGTATCTAGGACATGTGAATGTGGATTAAGTGTGTTTTAATATGGACTAAGAGTGTGATAATTGAATTAGTCCTCTGACTGGTTTAGCATAGCTGTGGGTTTGGATATTTGGAAAGCCCAACCTGGGTGTGGGTGGTACCACCCAAAGGGCTTGTAGCCTTGATGAGATAAAACGGAAAGGGAGGCCTACTGCTGCTGCTGCTTGACTGCCTTCTACCTGTCCTGCCATGGACGTTTTTCTTGTGTTCCTCCTCTGCCATGACTCTCTGTCTTGGAGCCAGCTGACTGTGGACTGAAACCTATAAAAACTATGACCTAAAATAAACCTCTCCTCCTTTAACTTGTGGCTGTCAGATGTTTTATCCCAGCAATGAAAAAGTAAGACAGCTACCCTTAGAAAGCCATCTCAGTTTTGTGTATAGGAGAAGGCTTGTGTGTTCTGTGTTCATCTCCTCACAGAGCTGCGTGCACAGACATGAGTTAAGGGCAAGTACTCTACTGTGGTTGGTAATTTTAATCACATCCTACAAAATGCTGTTAAGGTAACACTTTTTGGGCTAGTTAGCATTTCTCTGCAGACATAGTGCACAGATTCACATTCAGGAATGACCTATTTTACCAGAAATTCATGATTATTTAGAGGTGTGTATGTGGTAGAAGGACTGAAAGGGGATGAAGGAGGGATAATCGCCAAGTTTTGGACAGAGTGCCCAGATAAATTAGGCACTGTTCACATGTGAGACCAGGCCCTTACTAGAAGTGCTGGGGAACAAAATCCAGAGAGCTTTGATAATAGAGTAGTGAAATCAGAAAACTTTTCAGTCTTGGCAACTGCTCCATACATGAATATACCTATACAAAATGTCCAATTCAGTTTTCCTAATGTGTAATCATTCAAAGACTTGAATAGTCCTGCAAAACATTGCACAGAACATATCCTTAGGTGCATCCTCTTAAAAAATATATCATGTAGAGACAAGCACGGTTGCCTTGTTGTCAACATTGGTAGACTCATCAACCTGGATTGTGGCCATGGCGACTCATGAATCCTCTCCAACAAGTGTGCCTCAGTATCCTCTTTGGTTTCATCAACTTGTCTAGTTATGGTGCAGCCAAAGGAGGAAGAAAACTGCAGCCTTCCCTGAAAAGTTCACGACAGATAGCAGCAGGCAGGATGCGATCAGCTACTGAGAATGATGCATCAGTGCATACACATTTGATTAAGTGATGCCTTTGATAATTGCTTCTGTTCTTGGTGTTCACATTTTTTCTTTTGAGAAACTCTGAAGGCTTGTCTTTTAATGCAGGTGCTTGGTGTCCACATGGTGAAATAGTTTTGAAGATTTCATGGCTTCATTGGGTAGCTGTCACCACGTGTTATACAAAGCAGGCTTGGAGAATGTGGATCACTTGTTGCAATGTAACCTATAATTTAAGTAGGACTTTTGTTATTTTCATCTAAATGCAGCTTTCTTTTTATTGGCATCTTAGTCTTCTTTTATTTCATCATCATGTCTGCCCCCCTTTTCAAAGAAGCTCTGCAGTGATGTTTGCTTTTCATTAGAGTTCATGGCTTGCCACTAGCACCCAGTGAAGAGTAGGCACAGATAAAAGTGGTAAATAAGGTCACGGGCAGCCACACAAGAGTAAATGAGTGTCAGTGTCTGACTTAAAGCTGCCCTCAGGCACAGCTATACAGTTGAATATATCATCTCACTTGCCACTATAAAGCCTGCCACCAGATCAGCTTGTCACTTGCTACTTACTGATAGAGGTGTTTTGTTTTGTTTTTTAAGACAGAGTCTCAGTATGTAGTTCAGGGTGGCCTTGAACTCGCTATGTATCCTAGGCTGCCCTGGAACTCATGGTGATCCTCCTGCCTCAGCTTCCTGAGTTCTGGGATTATAGGTGTGCACCACCACACCCAGCCACTGATAGGGGTTTTTTTTTTTTTTTTTTTTTTGGTTTTTGTCCGGTACTGGGAACCGAACTCACAACCTTGCGCTTGCCAGGCAGGCGCTTTTGCCGCTGAGCTAAATCCCCAGCCCCCACTGATAGGGTTTTGATATGAGTTTCTTCAAGCAGTTGATTTGTTATGGTCTCTGTTCAAACCTCTCAGCTACTGTTAAATCTGCATTTGCAGCCACTCCCCAAAGCTGGTATCACCGCCTCAGCTCCATCTTAGCTCATCAGGCATTAGATTCTCATGTGGTGCTTGAAATCTAGTATTCCTGACATGTACAGCTCACAGCAGGGTTCCTGCTCCCAGGAGAATCTAATGCCACTACTGATCTATAGGAGGTGGAGCTCAGGTAGGAATGAGGAGTAGGGAGCACCTGTAAATACAGATGAGGCTTCACTCACTTTTGCCCTCTGCTAATCTTCTGTGCAGCCTGGTTCCTAGCAGACCTGGAGATCATTTCTCTAATGGCTGGGGACCCCTGCTATAATCCATAGATTCAGACTTAACCAGTTTTTTATATATTCATTTGTATGTGTGTGCCCATGATTATGTAGTTTTGTCACACATGTAGTCCTGTGAAACCCCCATCACAACAAAGATACCAACGCAGGACTCTCACGTTATACCTTTATACCCACACCTATCCCCATCCCTAAACTGGTATCACTCATATATTCTCCAGCCTTGTAATTATCTCAGTATAGTTACATAAATGGAACCATGAATATATAGCCTTTCAGATTGGCTTTTCTCACTTAGCATTAATTCTTTCATGCTCAATCCATTTGCATGTTCCAGTAGTTTGGGTTTTTTTTTGGTTTTTTTTTTTTTTTAAGTTGGTTTTCATTACTGAGTCCAGGTTGTACATGTAGCACAGCTTGAGTCATTCACCCTTTGAAGGACATTTGGGTGGTTCCCAGTTCTGGGCTATTATGAATAATGCTGCTAAGTACAATTTCCTAAGTGAAAAAGAGTTAGGACTTCACTGGGAGAAATGCCTAGGAGTCAATATAAGAAAATAATTGCTGAGCTATAGTATAGATTCATCTTTCGTTTGGAAAGTAATAGCCAGCCAAACTGTTTTCCAGAGTGGCTGTGCCATTTTACATTCCAGTTCCTCTACATTCTCATCAGCATTTGGTATCACTGTTTTCCACCTTAGCTATTCTGACACATATGTGGTGATAGGTCAGTGTGGTTTTAATTTTAATTTCTCTAATGGCTAATGTTGTGGAGCATCTTTTCATGTATTTGCTATCAGTGCTTCAGTATCCTCCTCAGTGAAATGGCTGTAATGTCTTTTACTCAATTTCTAATTGGATTTTTTGGTTTTTTGATTGCTGAATTTTGAGGGTTCTTTATATATTCTAGATATAACTCTTTTGTGGGATATGTGATTTGGAGGTATTTTATCCCGATTGGTAATTTGTGTTGCCTTTTTTTTTCTTTTTTGGTGTTTTGAGACAGGGTCTCACTACACAGTTCAAGCTGGCCTTAAACTCAAGATGCAGCCCAGGTTAGCCTCGAACTTGAGGTGATCCTCCTGCCTCAGCATTCCAAGTTCTGGGATTATCATGCCTGGCTTGTCTTTTCCTATTTTTACCAGAACATTTCACAGAGCAAAAGTTTTCAATTTTATGAGGTTCAGTTTATGAAATATCTCACATATGATGCTTTCGATATCAAGTCTTTGCCTAGTCGTGGGCCTTCTACATTTTCTCCTATGTTCTTTATAGAAATTTTATTGTTTTATGTTTTACATATTAAGTCATGTTTCATTTTGTAGTTATTTTTTGGCATGAGGTTTAGGTCCAGTTTTATTTTTTGCCCACTGTTTTCTCTCATTATTACTTAAGTATTCAGTTTTCTTTTGAGCAACTTGAAATCAAGTATTACACTTTTTATTTTGGTTTCCATTGTCCATTGTTGGCAAATAGAAATGCAGTTGATTTTTATGTGTTGATCATGTATCCTGTAACTTTCCTGAACTCACTTATTAGTTCTAGGAGTTTTGTGTCTAAGTTCATAAGAGTATTGATTTGTAGTTTTTTATTGTTTTTGTGGGTTTTTTTTGATAGTGCTAGGAATCAAACACAGGGTTTTTTTGCACATGCTAGGCAAGCACTCTACCATGAGCTGAGTTCCCAGTCCAAAAATCTCACTGTTTATTAAACAAAGTCTATATTGCCCAGGCTAACCTTGAACCCACAATCTTCCTGTATTAGCCTCCTGAGTAGCTAGGATTGCACATTGTCTGGTTTGGGTATCAGTAATACCCATAGTGACTTCATAAAATGAGCTAGGAAGTATTCTGGAAAAGACGATATCAACTTTGTATTAATTCTTTGAATGTTTGGTAAAATTGTCCACTGAAACCAGCAAGGCCGGAGATGCTTCTGAGGGTGGGGTAAATTTTTAAATTACAAACTCAATTTCTTTAATAGTTATAGGGCAACTCAGCTTATCTTCCATTTTGGCTGAGTTTTGGTGCTATGTTATTCTTAAGGAGTTGGTCCATTTCTGCTAAGTTGTCAGGTTTATGAATTTAGAGTAATTTGAATATTTCTTTATTGTCCTTTTTATGGCATCAGGGTCTGTTTTACTATTCCCTATTTTGTCTTT